AATGTTCCAGTCTTCAAGTCTACAGTCTAACAGAGAGGACAGGACTTTAAATAATTATGACAGAATAAATGATAACAATAAAAAGTAATGGTATTATTGAAGCCTGGGGGAGTCAGAGGTTTCCTAAGAGAAGTGTCACCTGAAATGAGACATGAGGGATCAGCTGGAATCATGCAAGAGGACTCGGAATCTACTAAGACACGAAAGCAGGAAGGAACACAGCAGAGGTTAGAAATGGCAAATACTCAAAGCAGTTATTGACATGTATCACACAACTGCTTCCAACTTTTAGAAGAAATTACTTGATATATACAAGTAAAAAGCTTAATACAGTAATGCCAGTAAATGGGCATCTAAACTATAATCTGGGGATTTGCTTCTGATGAGAAATGAGGATTTACTCTTAGTTGATGTGTGTCAAATAAATTCCCTGGTGCTGTGGATTGATTGAGTTGTGTCCCCCAAAGTTCATATATTAGAAGCTTAATTCCCACTGTAACTATTGAGGGTGGGAAATCCTATTAAGGTGATTGAAATGTGGGCCTTGAAGAGGTGATTAGATTGTAGGACCATGAAGTAGTGAACAGATTAATAATGGTCAGGGACATGATTCTGAGGGCTTTGAAAGGAGAGTACATGAAAATCTCCCTCTCTCTGCTCCACCGTTTCTTCATGGGAGACCCCTGGATCACTGTTGCCACCACCAAGACCTTCACCAGATGTGTTCCCTTTACTGCTTACAGCCTCCAAAACTGTAAGCAATAATTTTTTTTCTGTATAAATCACCCAGTTTCACTATTTATGTTATAAGCAACAGAAACAGACTAATAAATCTGACATTGTTAAATAATCTCCATTATTCCTTGGTATACCACTCTGAAATGCTCACCAAACTTGAGCACCTGTGATAGGAAAACAATGCCAAGTTATTATTTATTAAGTCATCAAAGCATGGCTTGTGGGAGCAGGGAGAAAACTATAGTCATGTTCTGAAGACTAGTAAGCACTCTTTACATAAGGACACAGTGGGCGACATCCGAGAAACACAACCATTATTAGGCAGAAGACATTTTTCAGAAGTAGACATTTAATTAAAGACTCAGACAGGTAGATTAATTATCTTATTGATTAAATGCATGGAAAACCTTCTTGAAGCAATGCAGCTATTCGATGGCAGAATAAAGCCTGAAGTTTCCAAAAAGAGAACTCATTTTCAGTCTCACGTGGCAAACGTAATTGCCTTCTCTGTGTCATGGCTGGGCTTGTCTCAAATCCCAGGAGCGAAATTCTCCTGGAGACTTCAGCACTGTGCTTGCACAAACACTATCCCCAGTGAGCAAAGGAAAATTGCACTAAGTGTTTGTTAGCAGTTATTTGGGCACAGAACCCTCACTAAGGATTTTTTCTAAACACCATCCCTGGAAGAGAATTGATACCATCCACAATTTCTCATATTCACCCCGGGACAGAGAAGCAATAATGTAATGATTGTGAGAATTTACAAGTTGTAAAAGAAAAGTGTGCAAGTAGGAACTTGTACTACTCACTTTTACAGATTTTTTTTTTTTCTTTGGGATTATAGGCCTTCTTGGACAGCTACCTTCAGTACATTTTGGGTGTTTGATTCCAAGGGAAAGCCCACAGACAATTTTTACCTGGAAATCCCTTAAGAGCTCGTGACTATATTTCTCTGCCCTATGAAGGGAGAGATAACCCCTGTTAGACAATGGATGCCATAAGCTGAGACTT